CATAGTTCAGATCGGACTTGATTTGGCTGAGATCTGCATCATTTTATTTCTCAAAAAAAATTCCAGTTTTTTTTGTCTCACACTGTATTATACAAATAATTTTAGTTATAAATCAGCAATGTAAAATAGACATGCATAATAATTGTTAATGTAACAAATTTTTATAGATTTATATTAAAAATATATTATATTATTTCAAAAATAAATATTATGTGATATACTCTTTTTATAGTAATTTATTTATTTATCACTTAATTTTTATTATATTAATTATTACCTATATACTAATAAATGTATATATATCACATAGCACTTATTTTCAAAAGAATATGATATATATAATTTTTTAATAAAAATATAACTAATAATGGTAATATAAAAATTAATTTTTTATCCTTTAAAAAATAAATATAAAATTATTTATAAAATATAGAAAAGTTAATATTTATTTATTATAAAATAATAAAATTAATTTGTCATATTAAAACTTATTTAATAGTAATATTTTAAATTTTATAATTAATAATTATTTCAATTTTTTATATATAACTTATTAAATAGTAATATTTTTTATATTTTAAATTGATAATATAAATTTAAAAATTTAACTTTTTTTATAATAATTTATTATATATTTATCTTTAAATATTATTAGCTAATTATAATAATTGAAAATGATTTTAATTATTAAATAAATTACAAGGTAAATTTAATCATTAAAAGAATAATAATATTATTATAAGATTAACTTTTTAATAATAAAAATATAAATAAAGATATTAATATACAAATTAATTTTATAATAATTAAATATAATATATATAAATATAATTAATTAGATTGCTATAATTATTTAAACAGCTAATATTAAAACTATTATAATCAAAATTAAATATAATAATCTAATTAAATACAATTATATTATTATTATAATTTATATAAATTATAATTAATTATATTTATTTAATAATATAAGTATTTTTGTTAATAATATTTATTTTTAAATGTAATAATTCTAAAAATTTTATTCATTTTTAAATAATAAATAGTAAGCTAAAAAATAATCTCAATTTTAATAAAAATTTTACTAATAAATTCTTAAAAAAATACAATAAGATATAATGTTACCTAATCTGTATAACTAAATATATATTAAGGAGAAATCCATTGCCTTATTTAGATAGTCAATTTCCAATTTTAATCATTACTTGAGGTTTTTTTTTTCGTTTTATTTTTCCATACCTTTGACGCTTTAATAAACATATAGTTTCAAGGGTTGCAATCATAATTTTAGACTTGCCCGGTGCAAAAGTTATCATACTCGTTTAACAATAAACAATATTAGAAATAACAAGGACTTTGGTCCTTTACTCTCTTTATTCCCATACCTTTTTAACTTTCTCCTTTATCTTCGTCGTCATTCCTCTTTTATCGTTTCCGCAGCTTCAAAGCCTCTTTTGCGTTGAAAAATTTTGGCTTAGCCTCAAATTTCCTGTTTACTTTACTCTAGCTTTCTACATCTTTATGTAAAGACTTCGCCTCAGTTGCGAATCCATTTTTTGTAAACAAAAAAAAAAAATTTTCAACAAATAAATGCGTTTTTGTTAAGTTTGCTTATCGCAAAAATTTTATTGTTCGAAAAGATTTTCTTCAGAATACCGATACCGGCTCAATAGTCTGAAACGTGGGGTAATAAATTAAAGCAACTATTGTTTTAATTTTTGATTCTGAACTTTTGTAATTTAGAAAATTTGGAGTGAAAAGGGACCTACCTTGTAATTTATTTAACAATTTACAAAATTTTCTTTCTTTTATTGGCACAGCCGAAATAAAGATTGAATCATGGCTTATTATAATAATAATAATAATAATAATGGACATATTCCTCAGAACACTGGATATTATGATCCGTATGATAATGATAATAGTAGATTTCTTGACCAGAGAGGAAATACTAATGTTGATAACTCTTACAATAATAAGAATGGATATGACAACCAATTAGAATATGTTCAAAATGACCATCAACCGCAACATATTAATTATGATGATGGTGGTGGGGTATATCATGATCCTAGGAATGGACTTAATAATAATGATCCGTATTATCCCACTAATAAATCTCCAGATCCTGTCGGTAGTGCATATGATGATTCAGGGTATTCTATTCCTTATAACATGCCATTACGATCTAACTCTCAAAATCAAAATTACGTCAATCCTTATACCGTCTCTTCTCATGAACCAAAACCCTTTCAATATAGTTATAACAGTCCTACACATTATCCTCCTTCCCCAGTAAACTATCCAACTTCCCCACCTGTGCAAATTCAACATCCACAAGTTCCATATCGTGGTCATACAGATCCTTATAGCGAAGGTACAACACCTAAAGAAATGTTGCCATCTGATTATTCTTCTATGCCCTCATCAACCCCTGGTCCCAAACCTCCATCCAATTATGGTCATGAGAAACCTTTTAGCCCGACTAGCGCGCTTTCTAGTAAACCTTTCATCCCTGAAGAAGAAAAAAACGCAAAACCTGGTGGAATTATGAAATTTTGTTGTTGTCGCACTACATGTGGCAAAACTTGTGCGATTATATGTTGCATTCTACTTTTCCTAATCATTGGAATTATAGCTGCTGTTTTATTATGGGCACGTCCTCCAAAAGTTGAATTCTTGGGCATTGTTCCTTCACCTAAAGGTTTACCTCCTTATGAAGCTAAGACTTCAGGATTTGATTTTAACTTTGGTTTAAAAATTCAAGTTGATAATCCGAATATAGTTGGTGCAAATTTCGAAATGATCCAAGCTACTGTAAGTTTTGTGATTCCTAATTTATTATAATATTTTATTTTCTTTTTTTCTTAAAAATTATATTTATATATATATATATTACTTTCTGTAGGCATTTTATCCTGAGCATTCTGAACCAATTGGAGGCGGAAATTTGACCAATGTAGAAATCTCAGCTAAAGGAAAAACTACCATCGAATTTCCATTCTCTGTCAATTATGATAAAGATATTGATCCAGGATTTGTTATTCTTTTTGACATTGCTCGAAAATGTGGATTAACTGGAGGAGCGAAAGAAAAATTGGAAATTGATTATAAATTAACACTTACTATCAAAGTTCTTTTAGTTACCATAAATCCAAGTTTTGATAGGAAAGCTATGATTGATTGTCCAATTAAGGTAATTTGCATAACCTTTTTTTCGTTATATATATATATTTTTTTCCCCTGAAAATCTTCACAAATTTTCTTTTAATTAGGACGGACAAATACCAAATATACCAGGATTCGATATAGGTAAAGCTGCAAAAGAATTTAATAGTAAAAAGAGTAAGAGACATTTATCACCAAAACGACCTGATTATTAACACATGAAGTGTTCATTAGAGAGTTTTGGGGTTATGATATTTTTAGTTATTTATTTACGGTTTAAAACTTTTTTTATTATATTTATTATACAAAACCAGTTGGAATGTTTTTACTAGATTATTTAATACAAAATAAAGTGAAATATAATTTAATTCAATTATATCAGCGATCTTGATTAATTTATGTAATCATTTTTTACTGTTAAGTTTTATGTGAAAACTTTGTCTAAACAAAAAGTATTGGGTCGGTTCATGATACATTTCTTAAAATGGATAAATGGATTAAAATTAAAATTTTTAATGAAGTACCCAGAAAATTATTGGTTTTTACTAGCAGTTTCCTTCCATTCCTTTATACTATATTTTTAAATTGTAATTTGACAGTTACAAACGATAAATTAGAATCAATCGTTGTAATTTTATTTTATGAATCAGTAATTATCTATTAATTGATTTCATTTTACTATATAAATGTTTATCAGACATAAGATAAAATCACAAAAAATTATTCGACAAACATATTTAATTTATAATTCATTTTTTTTTACATTTTATCAAAATCTTATCCCTTAAATTATAAGTATATAATTGTTTCTAAAACTTAAATATTTTGATATTTAATAATTATAAAAAGATAAAATATTTTTAGATTTATTATATTATGATGTATCTAATGGTAGTATTTTTAAACTTTTAAAATTAAAAATTATCAATATATATTAATTTTTCAATTTTTTAATTTTTAAAAATAATTTATTATTTAATAATTACAAAATATAAAATTTAGTTTTTTGGATTCATCACATTAAGATAATAAATGGTAGTATTTTTATATTTCTGAGGTTATAGATAGTAAAAGATATGAATTTAAAATTTTTTTTTATTTATTATTTATTTATCTTTAAAAATAATTTTATTTTTTGAATTTTACAGTTTTTTTAATAAGATTTTAATATAATTTTGTTAAATTTTATCATTTATTAATTTAATAGATATATAAATTTATAAAGTTTATAAAATAATAAATTTAAGATTATAAGTTTTTATTAATTATAATATTAATAGAAGATTTTTAATAATTTTAATAAGTTAAATTAAAAATTATTATTTAAATAATATTATATTACTAAAAAAAAAAATAAAACCCATTTACAAATTTAAAGATATAATTAATAGGATACTTATTTAAATTTATATGATAAAATAAAAGTTATTAATTTGTAATAGATCAGTGATATAATAAAAGCAAAATTTTGTTAAATATTATATAGTGTTTATTTAACATTTTTTATTAAATAGTATTAGTATTACAAATTATTTATTTGTTTATTATTATATATACAAAATAATAATAATTAATAAATTAATTTAATTAAATATTTAATAAAATAATTAGCAATAAATATAGTATTATTAGAATTATTAAAAATATCTAAACTTATATAAATTATTATTATTTTACTTATGATTTTTTAATCAATTAAATTACATAAAGATATAAAATTGATTATATATATATTAACATATAAAAAGATAAGATCACAAATATAAATAAATTGAAACAAATCAAATTTATATCAGATAAAAAATATTAACATCTATCATTTAGATAATAAAATATTTTGTAATATAAAATAAATAATTAGTAATAATATAGAAATAATTAAAAAATAAAATAAATAAAAAATAAAATAATAAAATAACATGAAATATATCTCATATATAAATAAGAATATAAATAACAAAAAGAAATATAATTCAATATATAAATTCAATCGTTATTATAGTTATTATAATTAACACGTTCCTATATTATTGATCAAAATAATTCAAATTGATTAAAATCAGATATTAAATTTAAACTAATTTTGATATTATTTATGGTCAAATTATATATTTTTAAATGATTTAAAATAAAGTTAATTGATTTCAATTAGACAAAATAATTTGACATTAATTTAAAACTTAAATTTAATTAAAATTAGCTTAAATTTAACATTAATTTAAAAATACAAATTTAACTGTAAATAAGCATTAATTTAGTATTAATTTAATCAAATAAATATTATAAAATCAATATATTTTTATTTTATTAAATATTAAATTTTATTAATAATAAAAAAAAATAATTACCAAAATTTACTGATTAATTTCTTATAACTTCTGTTGGATTTTATTCAAAAATTTTTATGTAAAAACATGTACACTCACCTAGCAAAAATGATCGACCAACAATAATTTTGCGATTAAATACCTCATTTTTAAATAAGTATATT